AGAGAGAGAGAGAGAGCAGCAGTCATATAATTTCTGATCCGCGGGGGCCAGTGCCGACATAATGAAGCGAGAGAGGCAGAAAGACTATGGGGAAAGGGGGTACAACGAGAGCGCTCACGCTCGATTTGCCTGGTTGGCCCACAGAGACAGAGAGGGAGAGCGAGGCGGAGAGAGAGAGAGAGAGAGAGAGAGAGAGAGAGAGAGAGAGAGAGAGAGAGAGAGAGAGAGAGAGAGAGAGAGAGAGATTATGGGTTGCCAGCGCTGTAACTTGCACCGTTGCACGTACTTAGCACTGTGTCCATTCGACGGTCCTTGGGATATCAGTCTACAAGTTGGTCCAAACTTCTGGTGGGAACCCGTTTCGTAAGATTGAGGTGGTGTCGCATGCCTTGAAGGTCTGGAATTCCATGAACAGTGATTTTCTAAACAACAGACATAGAGGCTGTGCTCTTTCTTTTTGTTTTCTTTTTCCTCCTCTTCCCTTGCACGTGCTGTATTATTTCGAAAAATTTCAAGTATTAACGAATATATGCGACAGTTGCGACTTGATAGCATTAATAATCACGGTTACCAAAATGTAAACAGATTCGATGGATTCTGCAACTTCTTGGAAGGCTCAGGAGCAAGGCGAAGCGGCAAATGTTCTTTATTCCTCGACCACAAATTCCAAATGRCATGTCCAACAGAAAGGAGCGGTGGAACGCCCTTTCGTCGAAACTAGAGCAGGCAGGCAACCATGGAAACCAGAAGTGATAACAAAGTCCCCAATAAGTAACAACAGACACTGTTAACCAGTTTAACTACGGTCTACAGTTTGGCGAACCGCAATTATGTTTCCAAGATACTAAAATATTGTTTGGCTGTGGACACATGGTGAGGGCTGTGTGTGCGTGTGTGTGTGTGTGTGTTGGAGAGAGAGAGAGAGAGAGAGAGAGAGAGAGAGAGAGAGAGAGAGAGAGAGAGGGAGAGAGAGAGAGAGAGAGCGCTTCCATGCACATATTGATTGATCTCTCTTCCCCCTTCTGTCACGATTCCGCCAGATTCTCGCTCTCTCTCTCTCTCTCTCTCCCCATCTCTCTCCCCCCTACTCCGTCTCTGCCCCCCCTCCTTGCATCCGTCGCCCTCGCTTTCACGTTGTACTTTACTTTTTTTCTCTCTTCTCTCCCTGTTTCCGCCTCTTTTCCTCTATCTCACACACACACACACACAAACACGCACACCCTGTCTTGAAGTTCTTCTCTGAAAATACGACGGGTGTCTCTGTCTAGCTCTTTCTCCACGTCCCTCTGTCTCCCCCCACGGGGCCCCAGGTCTTGAAGCTCTCCTCTGTGTCCTTGCGGGTTGCTCTCTCTTTCCCTCTCGCGCTCCCTTCCAGATTTTATCCCATACTAGTTTATTTATCAATTCGTTCTCTTCAAATTCGTGCAATGTTTCAAGAACTCTTTTCTCATGTTTTTCGCGAATTGTTTCTTTCCAACATCGAGATTTCCACCTCTGTGCTGTGTCGCTGCTTCTTTGTTTGCAAACACTTCCGCCATTCCGTGCTACCCACTACAGCCAATGAGTAAACTGTTATGGAGTGCGGTGACGATTAGCGGTGTGAGTTCCGTAAGAGTGTTCTACTCTGACGGGATAATAAGCACTGGTTCCTGCTCTTAACTAAATCGTACCGTTCATGTAAAGAGAAACGAGCCTCTTTTCCTTTGTGTGGTAATAAGAATGAGCAGAGTTTCCCTGTAAAAAATAAAAAATAAAACAAAGTGGCGGGGCAGGGCGTTGCGGAGCCTTGAAAGATACTGACCAGGATCAATGAAAACGCTCGATGGAAAGGGGTGGGAAAAAGGACTGCGCCACAGCCAGGCAGGGAATTTGCAGTCAGCTGTGTGGGGCATCCAGTGTTGGACCGATCTGGGACGGGATGATCGGTAGAAGGCGCCCACGCCAAAACCTTTTCGGTTTTGCGCGCCCAATGTTTAGCCATTTGGTACTACCGGCCCAATGACTTGCATGTGGGGTACTACAGGCCCACGCGTCCCTCCAAGGGCCTCACCGGATCATGAATCTGGCTCATAACAGAGCCAGATTCATTTTGATGTAAAAGAGGCCGGCGCCCTCGTACGCGATTTTGAAAAAGAAGGGCCCTACCGGTTCATGAATCTGGCGCAGAAACAGCGCCAACTTCTTGAACCCGTGAAAACAGGCCCAGGGAGATGTGGCCACCGCTTCGCGCCTTTCACCCAGGGGAAAGTTGTCTGGGCCGGTAGTACCAAACGGCCGAACTTTGGGCGCCAAAACCGAAAAGGTTTTTGCGTGGGCTCTTTCTACCAATTATCCCATCTGGGACTACTTTATCGCCATTAACCAAGAGTTAATCCTCCCAGACCGGTGAAGGGAGTACGTGGAGGCGAACTCGTCTTCGAAGACCACTATGCCTACAGTGGTTGCTTTACCATTATCTTCTGCCGCAACAATCGCTGCTGAGGTGTCAGCCGATCCGGTCTCCGATCTGCCCGGGATTACGGTCTCAATCTCAGCGATGGTCTTGATATAGTGCTCGCTCATTCCCCTTGGTATAACTGTCCAGTACACGCCCGTAATCGGATTTTCGATTGGACCAAGGAGGGTCCTATAGACCGCCATGGCATCTGCATTCAGCTTTGGGGAGATGTTTGACTTGCACCTGGCGGAAAAGGGCATTGCAGGAACAAATTTAAGGGGACAGGAGAAGCGCAACCCGAGGTGAAACTATCGAACTTTCTAAAAGACTCCTAACTTCAAGACACTCTTGCTTCCTTCGTTTCTTTTCATTTTGGTTTTCCTTTTCTTTTTTTTTGTTTTTGTGGGAAAGCTGGTGACTTTTTCTAGAGGAGTTGGTATGAGCAACATGTTGGTGTTCCTTTTCTTTTTTTTTTTTTTTTTGTGGGAAAGCTGGTGACTTTTTCTAGAGGAGTTGGTATGAGCAACCCCCTCTAGTAAGCGTCCCTTGTTGCTCCATCTGTTAGTGGGGAGCTTCCACCTGCTGGCGCCCTCCGCCTATCTATATAGAGACTCAAAAGACGTCTTTGGCACCCTGCTTCGGGGACCCAGCTCTTGCAAGCCCTTTGGCACACATCCCCAGGTTATGGGGTAGTAAGAGTTATTTACCCTCCCACCGTGATTGATGATGCATCTTTCAATTTTCAACTGATTGCTTGCATCGGGTTTCAGGTTTTCTATTTCACTCGCTTTATTAGGGTTCTTTTCACCTTTCGTTGATATGTTTTTGGGGTAACTACGCCGGAGTCACAAGAACCAGTTATAATTGCACTACGGAACAAGATACAGTTTGCAATTGCACTTCGGGCACCCTAGCTGTTCAGAAGCTGGGTTGTATACATTGCCTGAACTGCAGTTTGAAACTGTATCTTGG